TTCCATTATTAGTTTTAGGTATAAATAATGACCCATTGATTATTCCTTGCTCACTGGACTTTTCCTTTAACAAATTCTGTATCAGTTGGTTTGAAAGACTCTGCAAACCTTGTTCAGGGCATTTGAAAAATGACATTTGAAGGAAAAATCTGGGTCATTTCAGCATGAGTCAAACTAAATAAACCCATATATGGTTCAGCAGACACAAAACCAACTTCATTTCATAGCAATTATAAATAAATGCGTTGAAGTTCATCGGTTGCTGGATGTTTCCATAAACTTTCCAGCTGCTGTCTGCAGCAGCGGTGTGAGTGGGTGTTTTCTGTATTTCAGGCTCTGTTTGCCATCCGCCGGGTGCTCCTGGCCCAGCACACAGCCTTCCCAGTGTCAGGCGCCGATCTATATGAAGAACTATTGAGCTCCACAGCCATCCTCTCTACTGGAAATCCCAGGTAAAGTCAATTGTCCACACAGTATGACACACTGCTTCATCTGTCAGGGGCTGCAGGATTTAACAGTGAGCTCAATAGCATCACAGCAGCTCACAGCCAGGCTTATCTGAGGTATCAATACTCCAAAGGAAACATTTGTACGGTTTTTCCAATCTTGTCGAAGCTCCTTTTTCATCACTTCCATCATTGAAACCTGCCAGTGGTTCATTAAAGTCCTGCTTTTAAAAATAATGCCTCATTTTTTATGTGACTTTTAAATATTGCAAGGTTCATTTGTTCTGATCTTCAATAGTTTTTAATCTTCATTTGTTTTATTTTTCTAGTTTTGACATCTGATATTTCCATTCTATGTTAGTTTTATTTCCGATTTTAGTGTTTAATAGTTTAGTTTTTGGAAATGCTTAGTTTCCGTTCAGTTTTGGTTATAGTTTTAGGCGCTTTTAGGCAAGACAAAAAAGAAAAATAATAGTTAAAATAAAATCCCAGATAAGGACAGAGCAATGCAGCGACACAAACAAACCGACTGGCCTACTGCCACCTGCTGGTGTAATGCGGTATGGTGAAAATAAGCAGAAAACAGCAATTGGAAACTAGACCTCACATTAATGTAGGACTGCAAGAAATAATTAATTTGCAAATCGATTAGTCTGTTGATTATTTTTTTGATTAATTGCTTAATAATTAGTTAGCCTAAAGTTCCTTAAACAAGACTTTTAATTAAATTAAACCAGGTGAAACTAAACTTTTCCACTTGAGGACTTCTGGATAGAGTGGATAGTTTTTATCTGAAATGCGAAATATTTTACATATTTTCCTTTATTTTTTACAATATATTGGTATAATAGCTGCTCTAAGTGGGTCGCCCTGTCAGCTAAAGGCATGTTTAAGAGTCTCTATACTCTGAAATATACTAAATGAGTTGTTGATTGTTTAAATAATCAATTAATCCGATTAACTGTTTCAGTCCTACATTAATGCAATATAAAGACACAAACAAAAAAACTTTAAAATAGTTTTGTTATTCTTATTGCAGTATCAGTTTTTTGTTTTTGTATTTTTATTTGGATGGTATAGTTTTTTTTAAATTCCATTATTGGTCATTTTTCATGGACATTTTTATTTAAGGAGGAATCAAAGATGGTGTGGGGGGGGGGGCTTTTTTGGATTTCTCTAGAAGTACGACGTTCAAATCTTGTTGTTTTGTACTTTCACATTGAATAATAATTATTCCATTTTAACAAAATGCTCCTTATGAAATATAAGAGTTTTTTTCTCAAGCTAAAAAAAGGACCAGGTTAAAGCATCATTAATCTCTGCATCACTTTAAATTTCTGTAAAACGTCTCCAGGCTGAAGGACAAAGGTACAGAAATGGACTCAATCATACAGCTTTCTAGTTTATGAATAATAACAGCCTTTTTCACAGCTACAAATACAGAAATGTGAAATATCACCCATTACAACATATCCCTAAATGTCATTAAGCATATATAAAAAAAAAATGAGGGAAAACGCATTTCCTGTTAAACTGCTCATTAGTTTATTTTAACTTTACAGAAACCATAAGTAGCTTTTCTATAATCGAAGATTATTATTTTTAGTAGCCAGAAAATAAATAAGATTAATACTATATTTGTTTCCAAAATCAAACAAATAAATACATCTTATAAATGAAAGTATTACATTTTTGAATGTATTAAATAAGACTGATCAAGACTGAACAGACGGTGAAGTGGTGAAAGAAAAGTGAAATGGCGTGCTCAAAGATGATCACATTTAGAGGATGTTTGGCTCAACCTGCTGCTGTGAAGCAGGATTCTCCACCATGAACAGAATCAACAATAAATCTGGATCCAGGCTCAAAATGAGCTCCTTGATATGTGCTTGAGAATGGCTTAGTCTCCGGTTAAACCCAGGTTTAAAGCCTTGCAGGGAAACCCAGTGAAATACTTTGAAAATCAAAATTCCAAGCCAGTAGTGTTATTTGAATCCAGGACAAGAGTTTACTTCCTTTGTAACATTGCAAAAATGAATTACAATTTAATAACAAAAGTTCTTCTATAAGAAATTCATGAAAAACACTGAGAGTAAAAAAAAGCACTTTTTTTTTGCTACAATATAACCTTAGATGCATTAATGCTGATACTTAAAATTATATTTTTTAGTTTATAAGCCTAAATATAATTATTAACTAGTTTTTTTTAACTTTTCAATTAACTTCTTACTTTTTTTTCTTGACTTGTTAACTTTTTTTCTCCAACTTAATTTATAGTGATTTAATTTATCATTCAAAGGCTCATCTAATTGGTCAAATGCCAAAATAAGATGTGCAGCCATGTAGCAGCATCTTTGCTGAATTGCTAGATATAGATCTTGTGCTTCTAGACCTCACTGAGGGACGGGGGGGGACTCCATTTGTAAGGGAATGAAGTTATCAAAAACCTGTGGAAAAGGGTTAAAGCCTAAAGCCCACTGCTCTCATCAAAGGAATAGTACACCCAAAACATGATTAGCCTTCATTTTCTACTCCCCCCCATGCTGAACAACACTCTGGAGTACTTTT